ATATTAAAAGATTTTCTTTTTATTTATATGAAATTTATTTATAAAAAAATAAATTATCCTTAAATTGAAGAAAATTTAAGATCATTTCACAAGGTTTCTTTGTCTATAAATAAATCATTCATTTGATGAAAAAGAAAAAACAAAAAGAGGAAGAGAAAAGGAGAAAGGGGGAATAATTGCAAGAAGCATCGAGAGTCTCATCAATTTTCAAAGTTCCAATCCTTGCTAAGGGAAGTCTTAAATCCTTCCCAAGAGTAATTTTAAATCTTTGTCAACGAAGAAAACTTTTAAAGACAAGTTTCAAATCTCTTAAAAAGCAAGATCAAACTAAGACCCTTATATCATAGTCACAGAAAACTGATCCAATCACTTTAGGAGGCTGTCCAAAAACAGATCTATTTATTAATAAGTACTTAATTGAATTAATATTCACTAACTTAAAGATCTTAATTTGAAGACAAAGTAAGAAATTAAAATCTTTGTATATAAGCTCACAGAAAAAATAGACTGATCCATTTCTAGCCTTGCCCTTTCGAATTCTGAAATTTCAACATCAGACAATCAGTACCAGAAAAACTCTAGAGGCAACTGTAAGGCTCAATTATGGTATAACATGTTCCTCAACATATGAAACCCACCGCCATATCCCAGAGACCCAAAAAGGACAAAAATTTTCAGAAGTGGAAAAAGTGTGGAGGTTGAAGAACTGGCCAAGTTAATTTCTCAAAACAAAAACCAGATCTGGTAATTTATTGTAAACTTCAGACACATAAAACTACTATCTTTGGGATCTATGACATGCTCGTTCCAAAGTATAAGGAGCATCACATCAAACTCGGATTTCACTTTTGCTGTAGAACCCACTAAGACAATGAAAAATAATTCATCAGATTTTCAGTGGAGAATTACAGCCACTGAAGAGATTCAAGTAGCAGTTGAAGAAAGAACAAGAAATTTTTCTTTCTTAAAATTAGAAAAAAAAAAAAAAGAACAATTTCCAAGCCAAAGTTCTTAGGCATCCAAAAGAAAACAAGAGATGTATAAACAAGTTCAGAACCAGCTCAGTGAGATACAATATGAAGACAATTGATCGACTTCAGTGCAGAGGCTAGTCCTCATCCATTCCTGCAGGTTGCTCTCTCTTCCGGACCACCAGCTGGTTTTGCCATTATAATCTGCAATTTGAACACTGGACCTCGTCAAGCAACTTATGTGAAAAGATGTTTTTAAAAAGGGGTTTGAATCTAAATTTAACACAAAGCAGTTGCTAGGTTGTCATCAAGCTGGTTCTTTCTGCTGAATTACCTGGTCTACTCGTAATACGGTGCAAGCAGCATCTGCAGCATATTTAAGAGCAAAAAACCTGTAGGAAAAGACAAGTAAATTATTTTGAAGAAAACTTCCATGCCAATATATGCAATGGTCACACTTTAGTTCAGCTGAGTTTAAAACTCCAAAGATTCGCTGTAAGTAGACCTCTCTGTTGACCATTGTTGCTAGCAGGACTTCTCTGATTATGGTAGTTTAGTTATGACCATTATAGTGTGGTCTGCTTTCATAATCATGGAAAAACTGATTCAGTCATTGTAAAGGGCTACCACAAAACTGATCAATTTGCCGAGTACCTAGAAAGGTTGCTGGGCATAAATTGATTGCAAAACAGTTCAGCCCACCCCCCTCCCCCGCTTTGCTGCCAAGTAAACACCCACTTTGGCATTTCCAGATGCATGTTTTTCATACAGCCTTGATATGATATCCATAGTATTTAGGCCAGCATTCTCTGCTAGGGTTCTTGGTATCATTTCAAAACTTTCAGCAAATTTAGTGATAGCATACTGATCCAATCTGCAAAAAGTTTGTAAAAGTTAGGTTAAAAACCAACCTTCCTAATTCCAATAGTCCCCCAGGGGAAAGCTATCTTCATACACTTAACAGCAAGAACTAACATTCTAGAATACGCAAAATATAAATGCAATAACTGCTTCAAAATGTATAGAATAAAATTGTCTGACTCTGTCAAGAAGACATGGTGGCCATGCAAATTTGGTACTATCAAGGAAAACACATCAAATAATCCTATGCAAGTATTACCCTATTTCTTTGTAAGAAAACTCTTCAACTCAATTTCAGTAGCTGCAACTCCAGGTACCATACGACTATCTCTGCACTATTGGAAAAATAAACTTGATTTATTAATCTCCTATTTTTAGTCATGTACCTGCATAGTTCATGTGCCTGCATAGTTCATGTACCCATTTATTTTATCTTTACAGTTTCTAGGAGTTTCATTTAACTGTTTTGGGTTTGGAGTCTTTTGTGCCTATAAAATGGCTTGTGCTTGTACTTGAGAATTGATACATTCAAGCCAAGAATAAAGAAGCATTTCTGGAAAGTTTCTTCTTGTGTTCCTCCCCAGTCTTTCCTCCCAAATCTTTATTTCCAACA